TTTTTTTTTAATTTTTTTTATTTCCCCCCCCCCCCCCCCTCGTCTCTTTTTTCTTGTGTTTTTTTAAAAAAAAAAAAAAAAAAACTTCTGTTTTTACTTTTTCTGCCTCTGAGGAGCCACTGTGCCTTAAGGCGTCAACTTTTGACTATTGGTTGGTTTACAGGCTGTGATGGCTGCCTGGAACGAGGTCGTTAGAGAGCTGAGGCATTTGGCGATTTATTTGAAAACATCTCTGTAACTCCTGACTTTATCTTCTTTGCAACATAACAAAACATGTTGCAGTTAGTTGTACTCATACATACAAATGTCGACAAACTGGTTTGTTATAACTTGGAGGAAGCAGAAGCTGAAATTGGCTTCTGATTGCAGATTCCGATTTGGAAAATGGCTAAAGAGCGATTCCGCTTAATTTTTCATCACTTTGAGAGTCTGTAATCTGCCCTAGTTTACTAACTAAAATACTAGCTTTGCTACTTCAAACCTCACCTGGATTACTTGAAGCTAATTGTGCGATTTATTAAACTTCCACTAAAGGCTGTATGAGTGCTGTGATTTCATCTGTACTACAAAAAGCCTCGTCTTCAAAACTGCAACACCAACAAAGTCGTGTTACGTCCAATTTGTTTTTCGTTTGGAGTTCATATTTTCTTGTAAACAATTATTTAAAACTGACCCTAAAAACAAACCAAATTCAAAATTTCTTGTAATTCACTCAAAGACCTCACGGTGCGTGTTAAGCTAACAGAACGGAGCGTTGCTAAGTAAGTGTTTTCAAACCCAACGTTATCAGCTTTTCTCTGCACTTTCTGGTCACATTAGTTTTGTGCTCTTGTGTAATCTACATGGCAACACCAAAATCCCTTTGTTGGATGTGGGAACACTTTGTAATTGGGCTAAAATGTAAAAAGACTTGGTTTGTGAAAAACCACGATGAAGAGGAACAGATTCTACTGATTTTTAGTTAGCAGCTAAGCGAACACTCACAATGCACCATCTGATTTATTTACGCACAAGTCAGAAAGTGAAATCCTTTGTTTATGCACTTTAAGTTGCTTGTATTTTTTGATTTGGAGTATTAAGCTGCTACCCCCACGACCCGATCCCGGATAAGTGGAAGAAAATGGATGGATGGATGGATGGATGGATGGATGGATG